AGGGAATTCAGCCGGTGTTGATGTTCCTGGGCACTGAAAGAATGAGAGGCTAGAAGCGTATGCTGTTTGGCAGGGACGCATATATACATGTTATATAGTCATGACAGATTACAAGAAGGCGCAGGTTGTTGCTAAACTTGACCTCTACTCCAAGCTATACCAAGATAAGATCTATCTAGCTAACAACCTGCCGCACCAAATACATTGTATGCGTTACAACACATACGTGACATGTTGTCACATATTTCAATCTATACATTCTCTACAAGCCTATCGTTTAACATCCTTCCTTAATCTTAACATGTCAAGATTCAGATTGTTCTTGAAGGCTTGGAACTGCCGAACTTGTAGAGGCTTAGGCCCTGTTTGGTTCATAAGTCCTAGGACTTTTTTTAGTCCCAACTTATAAGTATCAAGTCCCTAAAAAGTCCCTACATGTTTGGTTACTGGGACTTATAAGTCTCTATAAGACCATATCACAACTATAAGTCCCTCCTTGAGAGTCTTATTTCATAAGTCCCAAATGTCCACTTTAAGTCCCTATAAGTCCCTCATGTTTGGTTTAGATGAGACTTATAGGGACTTTTTTAAGTCCCTAAACCAATAAGTCCTTGGAAACAAACACCCTCTTAGTGAAGCCATCAGCAACTTGATCTCCTGTTGGAATGAACTGTATTTCTAGTAGTTTTTGTGCTACTCTTTCACGAACAAAATGATAGTCAATTTCTATATGCTTTGTTCTCGCATGAAATACAGGATTTGCAGAAAGATAAGTTGCACCCAGATTGTCACACCAAAGTTGTGACACATGTGATCTTCCAATGCCCAATTCATCAAGTAGGGCTTCTATCCACATTACCTCAACAGTTGCATTAGCCAGTGACTTGTATTCTGCTTCAGTACTGGAACGTGACACTGTTGCTTGTTTCTTTGCATTCGAAGATATAAGATTAGACCCAAGGAAAACAACAAAACCTCCAGTAGAGCTCCTATCATCTGGGCAACCAGCCCAGTCTGCATCAGAGAATGCACTTATTGCAGTTGATGGAGATCTACACAATTTTAGCCCTATTCCAGAATTTCCCTGAATATATCTTAATATCCTTTTTACTGCTGTCCAATGTACATAAGTAGGAGCATGTAAGAACTGACAAACTTTGTTTACAGCAAAAGATATATCAGGTCTAGTCAGAGTTAAGTACTGAAGTGCACCAACTATGCTTCTATACTTAGTCCCTTCTTCTGAACTTAGTATTTTTCCTTCATGCAATGACAGCTTATCAGTAGTTGACATAGGTGTAGTGGAAGGCTTACAATCCTTCATGCCTACACGCTTGATTATATCTTTGGCATATTTTTCTTGAGTCAACATAATACCATCATGCATCTTTTTAACTTCAATACCTAGAAAATAATGCAACTCTCCCAGGTCCTTGAGTGCAAACTCACTTCTCAAGTTTCTTAATAAGGCCAAGGTAGCATCTTGAGATGAACTGGCAACAATTATATCATCAACATAAATTAACATATAAATGATCACCTTCCCTTTCTTGAAGAAGAGCAGTGAAGTATCTCCTCTAGAGGCTCGAAAACCAAGCTGTTGCAGCTTCATGCTCAGTTTTGAATACCATGCTCTGGGTGCCTGCTTTAAACCATACAAGGCCTGGTCCAACTTACATATATGGTGCGCTTTTGGGCCATCCTCAAATCCAGGTGGCTGCCGCATATAAACCTCTTCCTCAAGAACGCCATGTAGAAACGCATTCTGAACATCCAATTGACGAAGACTCCAACCCTTGGAAATAGCAACAGATAGAACAAGTCTGGTAGTAGCAGCCTTAACAACTGGACTAAATGTATCTTCATAATCAATACCATAGCGTTGCTTGAAACCTTTAGCCACTAGTCTAGCCTTGTACCTGTCTATTTTGCTATTAGATTTTCTTTTGACCTTGTACACACACTTACAATCTATTACATTCCTCCCTTGCTTCGACGGAACTAAGTGCCAAGTCTTGTTTCTCATGAGTGCATCATATTCTATGTTCATAGCATTTTTGCAATCACGATTACTCAACGCCTCTGTTAAACTTTGTGGTTCACTAGTGGAGGCAAAATTTGCAAACTTGAAATTCTTGTCATACCTTACCGTTCTATCTTTAAACTTTGATGGTTTCAAAATACCTCTTTGTGCACGTGTAGTCATACTGCTGGTGTGTCATCGTGTACTGGATCAACAGCCGCAGAAGATCCCGGCCCGCCTCCATCCAATTAAGCGTCAGCAGGCAAATCCTCCTTGACTGCCACGCTCGGATCGCGCACGGGCACATGTGACGTGTTGTCTGGACTCGGGGAGCGCGCAGGTGGACCAGGCGACACGCCGCCCGCTGCAAGTGACGACGAAGGCGCGCCTGGCCCTCTCGTACCGAAGCCTGACGCGTGGCGCGCACCAAAGGAGGGCGAGGGGACATCAGGTCCTCCCGACCAATCATCAGCCGGCCCACCCGACCGGTCTCCAGGGGAGGCAAGCGGCGTCAGGGGATCCGCCTGGGGATCCGTCGCTGCGTCAGCCTGCATGCTGACACCGTATCTCGCGGGATTAACGCCTGTAGGCATATCTGCCTTGTGTCCCACGCCGCCAGGAGTTCTCTGTTGCTGCATAAAATCACAGTTTGGAGCGCCGTTTTTTCACCGATGTCTCCATTATGGTTAGGGTTATTAAACGAATGATCATCAACAGTGTTTTCACCCCCTTGATCAGTAGGATTTAATAGGTCTGGGGAAAGCAAAAGGATCTCAGCACGTAAACGTGCACCGGCGTTAGGATGAAGTGTAGCAAAGGGGAAAATGTTTTCATCGAATACAACGTCCCTAGAGATATAAACACGTCCGGTGGAGATATCAAGGCACTTAAAACCTTTGTGGAGATTTCTGTACCCAAGGAAAGCACATTGTTTCGATCGGAATTGGAGTTTATGATTATTGTAGGGTCGAAGATTGGGCCAGCAAGCACACCCAAATATGCGAAGATTAGATTAGTTGGGGTTTTCATGAAAGAGTCGTTCAAAAGGTGTTTCGAACTTGATAACCTTGCTAGGAGTCCTATTTATCAAATAGGTTGCGGTAATGAAGGCTTCATCCCAAAACTCAAAGGCATAGAAGAAGTGACAAGCCTACCTCAACTATGTGTCGATGTTTCCTCTCAGCCGATCCATTCTGTTGATGGGCGTGAGGACAAGAGACATGGTGAGATATGCCTATGTGGGTGAAAAAGGAGTTAGTTTCACATACTCCTCACCCCAATCTGTTTGGAGAGCAAGAATCTTACGATCAAACTGTCTTTCTACAAGATTCTGAAAATCATGGAATTTCTGAAACACCTCAGACATGTGTTTGATAAGATATATCCATGTATATAAATCTAATGAAATCATCTATGAAACTCACATAATATTGCTTTCTTCCTACCATTTCAACAGCAGGACCCCAAACATCGGAAAACACAAGTTCTAGAGGAAACTTTGATTCACTTATTGAATTTGGATAAGGAAGTTGGTGACTTTTGCCTCTTTGACAGGCGTCACATACAGACTCTTTATTGAAATCACTGGCACACGGGAGATTATTCTGACTAATGACTTTGCTAACAATAACTGAAGATGGATGTCCTAAGCGTCGATGCCACCTATCCGGAGATATCTTGGTGGCACTTAGCACTTGCTTGTTGACGCTGGTGCCCGTGTGCCTTACTAGGTAGAGACCTCGTCTACCCTTGCCTTGAAGGGGTACCTTCCTTGTTCCCCGTTCCTTTACAAAAAATAATAGGGATGAATTTCAACAAAGGTATTATTGTCAATGGCGAGACGACTAGCAGAGATGAGACTTTTGTTGGCTTCGGGTACATGAAG